CGTTTAGCTCCCTCTTAACGAAATTAAAAGGATAAAGGATAAAGCATTTGCCGTTGATCAATCCCTTTTTGGGATGCGGCACGCATTCTACTTCCATTTGTACATTCGTAGTGGCGTTTGAATGCGATGTGGCCTATACAATGACTTGCGGGGGCCAGCCGATGTACAAGTCAGTGTTTTTATCCTCCCAGACAAGTCTGGTACCAATTAACCGACCCCGGAGGGATGGAAGGCTTGGTTGGCCCGGGCGACTCACGACCCAGGATTTGATCCCCGGACCGCTCGCGTGGTAAGCGTGCCACTTGCCACTACACCACTTCCGCCCTTTATATTGACTGATAGAAATAGCATAAATTAATGATCAGTGCAGAAAAAAGCACAAACAGACGAACAAAATGTTTAGCAGAGCGATTCGTGACGAGTGTAGTGTTGTTTGAAAAAATTTTACACGTTGCAGAATGAGATTCAAGAAGAGAACGAGGACAGCGAGAGGGAGGAGGGTGATGAAGACGAGGATGCTGAAGCGCATAGGGAAGCGGCTATTCAGGAGCGGAAGAAAAGCGCTGACGAACGGATTAAAGTAAGTTTTCCTTCGATGTGCTATTCCTATGTTGAAAAGAGGTCTTGTTAGTCATTAATTCCATTATTTTTATTTACTTGTTCATTTGTTACTTTGTTTACTTATTCGTTTCATTGTATTCTTTCATTTTCCAAAATTGCCAATGGGTGCCTATTTGGAGGTGATTTCCCCAAGAGAAAGTGCTCTCGTGTGGGACCCTGTGCTGAACTTTCCAGTCGACAGAGTGGGAGAAGAATTGAATCCAATTGCTTTTTTCAATATTATTTTACTTTTGATACATTTGTATATACACACACAATTATGTGCTAAAGCTCTTTTCTGTGGCAATACTAGTAGGAAAGATAAATATCAAATTTTTGAGTAGATCAATTCAAAATTCTAATCAGTAATTCAAAGTTTGAAATAATTGTAAAATCCAACCATGGAAGTTATTTCCCCACCGCGGTAGAGCAGTGCAACTTACGGTCTTTGTTGCCTTTTTTCAGACCAAGAGATCAATCAACAAAAATGATGTCATTTTGCAGTTTGTCATATCGCAATCGAATCTCATTGTTGACTACAAGTTTGACGTGAATTCGGAACGATGGTGTGAAGTGGTGTTTCAATTGCCGTTAGGAAACAAAAGCAAATTGGATTTGTCGACGATCGTAGAGAAGTATGCTTTTGACGTGGTTGCGTGCATCTTTCCATATCCTTTATCCTTACTCTTTTGTTACATTTTTGAGGGCTTTTTTGAGTTGCGGTCTCATGACTCTTCAAAGTTGAGTGATTGATTATTTGGTTTTGCTTTCAGGGAAGTAGAAAAGTTTATCGTCCATCAGAACACCAGGTATAGAACGCTGTATCGAAACAGAAGAGATGGTGAACGATGTGCCAACAAAGTTTTTACAAACACAGGGCATCAATCTTGAGGTAAATCTCTAAGTAGGGTGATTGACTGCAGTTACTAAATGTTAAATTGTTGAGCTCCTGTTCAAACTAGAGGAAATATGCACATGACTAGTGTCAGCATCATTGGAAACCTAGTGCGCGGTGACGATGCGGCTGTCGTGGCCGAACAACGAGCCCTAGCCTGGCTGTCAATATTTATGTCATAAGTGCGAGCCTAATGTTTTCCAGGTGATGCAGTCCAAAGTAATAGCTCGCGCATGATCTGAGGCCACTCCCGTGGTCGATCGGTAGTGTTTATAACGTGTTATTCGAATTTGGACGATTTGGCGAATCCGCTGAAAGAAATGCAAAAGAAATTGACCGGAAGGATCA